TGTATTACCATTAGTTTAGGAGACAATTCCTGAGGAGTTTTTTGAGAAGTTGTGGAAATCAATGCCTGATAGGGTGGCTGCAGCTTTGGAGGCAAGGGGAGGTTATACAAGGTATTGACTATTTTTATTATTTAATTTACTTTACCATTCTCATGGTTAATGGTTTGTGCCTGTTGATTGTGGTTAATTGTTTGTGCCCGTTGATCGTGGTTAGTGTTCATGCCCGTTGACAACCCCACAATTGTGGCCTGGGAGCTATGGCGCAACCGTAATTAAACATGTCTCAGATCATGAACACTTCTGATGACTGACTGTACAACATGTTCCATAGGGTATTATAATACTCCAACCTTGGAATTTTTGCCTGCTCAGCCACGTAACACCCAAACTTCTGCCTGGTATACATTTTGAATTACACCAACCATACTCATATCTCTGTGCCAAGATTGATTACCTCTGTTGAAATTACCCCCTTGGACCCATAAAAGGCGTAGCATTGAAGCTGCTTTCTAAAAGAGTGGACCTATTGCTACTTGGTTGAGAACCAAAGTTTTGCCCCGGTTACACAGGTACGACCTCTTTCAATTGTCATACCCCTTACCATATTAGCTCTTACCTTTTGTTCTATACATGATACTTAAACACTTCCACTGTAGGAGAAACCAATGCTTTCTTTCACCCAGTCCCTTGCAACTTGCAATACTGTAACATGCTTTAAGGTGGAATACATTATACAGCATGAGTTCTGTCTCTTTATCCAAGTCTCCTTAATGCCTTTTTCAAAGTGGAGGAGCTGTATAGGCAATTACTCCACACGCGATATATGTTATCAGACCCCTTTGGTAGAACTAGGATTTTTGATTCATCTCTTTAGCCACTCTGGGGAGGGTATCTGTTGTCACTAAAGTTAGGGTAGAAGTTCCCCGAAGGTCTTTTGAATCTGCTCTGGTAATATGAGCTATGCTATCTCACCCAAAATATATGGTAGGTTGGTACAACCTATTGCCAATTGGGCAAAGCACATAGGTTTTAGTACAGATGAAGAGAGTAGTGTCTCGGAGGTTGGTGGAAAAAGGTATTCCCGGTTGCCGGGCCATTGCAGGGTCATAGCTCCAGGAGACTGGGTCTGTAGACCCCTATTAGAACACCGGCTGCCACTCTGGTAGACTTGAACACCCTCATCCTTCCTACAGTTTGTGTTCTATATTGACTGCTCGGGTTTTTGCATCTTAACCCATATTTTCCAAAACCCGCTACACCCACTATACCTTCACCAACCAGTATATACTGAAAAGCAAAAGGACACCATTGTGTAGTTAAGAAACTACCGGAAGAACAGAATGTCAATGCCGAGGTGCCAAAAAAGAGCCTCTGGAGTCCATTATTTTGCGCTGCATGGCGCAGCCATGAGGGAATTGTGAAAATGCTATTGGAGTACAACGTTTTGAATGGCGACACATAAGAGATGGATGGTAAGACGCCATCTTTATGGGTCATTGCCAGTGGGCACGCGGGAACCTCGAAAACACTGGTAGAGATAAACAATGTCAATTCAAACATGACAGTTTGTCGCGGTCAAACACCATTCTTGTCGGCTGCCGGCAATGGGTATGAGTGAATTATGAAGAAGCTGTGGGGGCGGAATGATGCCAATCCCAACACAGCAGATATGTAGAGTGGAATACGATTTTTCATGGGCCCCCAGGAGTGGCCATGAGGGAGTTCTAAGGATGCTATGGGAGTAGAATGATGTCAATCACAACACAGCAAATGACTATCGCCGAATACCATTTTCATGGGCCACCCAGGATGGGTATGAGGAAACTGGGAAAATGCTATTGGAGCAGAACGAGGTCACTGTGGATGCGGCCGATGAGGATGGCTGAACACTTTAATGGGCCGCCGCGAATAGCCATCAGCGAGTCGTGAAGAGGCGGCTGGAGGGAAACGATGGAAATCCCGACACGTTGGATAACTGTGGCCGAACTCCATTTTCCCGGGCCACCATAAATGGACACCAGGGAATTGTGAAGATGCTGTTAGAGTAGAACAATATCAATCCCGACACAGTAGATAACTGTTGCCGAACACTATTTGCATAGGCTACTAAGAGTAGGGATAAGGGAATTGTGAAGATGCTATTAGAGCTGAGTGCTGTAAACATTGACACGGCAGAGGAAGATGGCTGAACACCATTTTCATGGGCCAGTGGGAATAGAGGTGTAGGAATTGTGAAGATACTATGGGACCGGAATGATGGCAATCTTCACCAAACAGATAGGAATACCTGAACACCACATTCAAGGGGTGCCGGAAATCCATCTCCTATGGATTTGCCTTTCCAAACATGGGAGCATGACATCTTTGCTAAATTTGCACACTGCGAGAAGTCATATGGGTCCTCTTTTTATTCAAGAATTGGGCCTGGAAAGTAAAAAGTGAGAGTTCGACAAACAAGATCCATAGGAGAGGAATACAAGAGGAATATAATTTTTTTAATTTTTTTTATGCCATACTACATGTAGCTACCAATGCCCCCAATGCTGCCCATTACACTTCTTCCAACTGCCCTGCCCAAACCCCATTCCCAGGTATCACAAGCCTAAATTAAAAGGCTCCAACACCGATATGGTCTTTGAGGCGACTCTTTTTCATGTTAGAGTTGCCAATAATGGCCAAATCGAATTGTTGAAGAAGACTAACAACACTTACGTCTTGTAACTGTTAGTATTTACTCTAATATCACATCAACTTGAATGGGACAATGGTTTGCTATGTACTTACCATCTAATTCAGCGAGTTCAGCAAGGGTGGAGGGGAATTTTTTACAAACCACATCGGCCTTGGTGTGGAGTGGGCGAAGGGGGTCGGTAGGAGATTTTGCATGGGAGTTGGCAATGCGGGCCCGGGTATTGGTGTCACTATTACTCATATCGTAAGTTAGCACTAAATATCGTCATAAATGTTTTTTAAAATAGAAAAGGAAGTCCTACTTGTGGTTGACTTGTTTGACGACCCTGCTTACCGCTTGGCAAATGAGAGTGGTGTTCGACTGGATTTGGGCGATGAGAGTAGTGCACGCCTGCATTTGAGCAATGGATTGCTTCATCTGAGCGATGTCGGAAGAGTTATTAGTAATCTCTTAGGTATTTTGAATGATTTGGTTGGTGAGGAGGGAGATATTCGCATTTGCCGTGGCAATATTTTGATTAACCTCCGCAATATTTTGATTGACCACTTCCAAACAAAGGTTCATGGGATTCTCAAGCTGATCCAAGGGCCCGCAAATAGTGTCTATCGACTGCCAGTTCTCACTGCTGGTAGTCTCGTTTACCGTACCAGGAGGGTAAATGAGGGAGCTCTCTCTGTTGGTGCCATGGTATGGAGGGGTTTCAGCATCGAGTGGGGTGGCTGGTGGTGCGGACATCATGGGGCGGCAAGTGTGGGTTGGAGTCTGATTCTGTGGTGGGTCTTGAAAAGAAGTGGTGTTGAAGTGAGGGAAGAGGGGAGGTGTGTCAGGAATTTGTGGGAGCCGCTTCTTATACCTGGTTGGGGGCTGTTACCCGGACCTACTGTGATTACTAAGCCAGTTGTGGATTACCTGTGTGGAAGTTTCTCTCGCTGTCACTAAAGGGGGGTGTGGGGCCCAGGCCGCGGGCACCGGCAAGGCTGGTCAGGGGGCTATGAGGGGGTGGGACTGTGGAGGTAACACGTTGGGGGGTGGGCGTCATCAGCGTTAGTGATTGCAGGGGAATTCCCGGTATGGGCGTTGTGGATGATCCTAGAAGTGATAGGAGTATAGTGCATCATTTAGGATTGCTGTACGAGTAGATGTCCCGGAGATTTAGTAGTTTACGGAGAAGCCCCCCAGGATACCGGTATGTTCCTCCTTTGTTATTGAGAGTATACGGAGGAATAGGGACGTGGGTGTAGGAAGAGAGATACGCGTGGCGATCCCCGGTAGAATTGAAGGCTTTGGTTCTATTTTATACTACACCTTTCTTTACCATTCGTTTGGATAATGAGGGTAGCCAGAAAGACAAGGAAACAATACCTTTCTCTCCCACATCTAGAGTTCAGATCTATTCCACCCGCTATGCCGCTGCGCTATCTGCAGGCCACCCCAGAGCTATTCAACCTCCTCCCCGCGACGATCTGTCAGAAATGTTGGGGGTGTTCTGAGTGTTTGGCCGTTTTTCTTCAGGGCCCTCCCTGCTCGTAGCACTCCTACTTCTCATTTCCGTAACCCACGGTAATAGATTTCCAACGGTAAAGGTTGCGAATCCTTGGCCGCTCTCAGCTCAATCAGCAATTCGCAAGCCACCAAACCAAGAACCACCGTCCATCCGATCCCCGGAAGCGGAGCCACCAGAAAGGCCAGCGGCGAAAGCAATGCCCAACTAAGCTGTGAAAAAGAAAAAAAAAATCGCGGGGGTTGCTAACTGCCCTCTAGAACCTTTCGGGATTACAGTAACACCGAGAATGGTGAATGGCGCTGCAGCAGCCGAATAAGGTGCGGTTCGTGGGCGATTGTGGGCACCTATGTGGAAGTGTCTCGGCTCGCTCCCGGGATAGGATGGTGTTTTCGACCGGGATGCGCCCGTGGACCCCGACTCGTCCCAAGACCGCCCTATACTATCATAGGATAAGATGATGGGATATAGTCTTGATGACAGCGTACTCGAGTACCGGTACTCGAGGAGAGGTAAATGATCACGAAGCCAGGCTCAAGAGAGTTAGAAGGGGAACGATGTCTATTGGTCCCTCGGGTGGCGGTTGTCGCTCATGCTCGGCGAGGAGTGGAAAGGGCATCCCTATCTAAATTTATCACATCATCCTCAAAGGAGCATGCCAAGACACCCCAACCGGGAAGTTGCGCTAGGTGAGAAGCCGCGCCCGCGCCACTCACTGCCACGAGCAACCAAACGGACTGATACCCGTTTCCTACAAGTACGATACATTACTCGAGTACCGGTGCACCAGCAAGCCTCTATCTGATCGGGTTCGGCTAATCTCACCCAGTTCACACTGCTTATTGGGAACTTTAGACGATGCCCCACCCATGTCAACACCCGATCGCGAGGCTATGAAACCTCTCCGTAACAAGGGCATCATGAGCGGGAAAAAAAAACGGAGCCGGGAATCGTATCCCTTACACCTCCATCCACTCATCAGGAGACAGCTGTTGTCCCCAAGGGATGAATCCCAAAGAATAACACCACCACCATGTCTCTACGAGTCCAGAGCCTCAACAGCGATACGACCTTCGCTTTCACATTCTCTCATCCGGCGCTACGGAAGCCATTCGTACTCCTCTTAGACCCCTGGCTACACTCGAGCCCCTACGTCTACCACCCGCTGTTCTCGAATCAGAGCCACACGACCCAACCATGTATCTCATCCCTATCCAAGTTATCACCAGTTCCAGATATGATCATCGTTTCGCAGAAAAAAACGGACCATTGCCACGAGGGGACTTTGAAGGAGCTCGACTGGACCGGCGCAGCAAAGGAGACCCTTCTCTACGCCGCACCAGATGCAGTGGGGATAGTTCTAGGGTGGAAGTGGTTCGACCGGAAGCGACTACGGCTTCTCCGGCGCGGAGAGACAGTGAAGGTGGAATTTCCGAACGAGGAGGGGAAACCTGCAGTCAAAGAACCGGCGGGCTGGCTGGAGTTATTGCTCATGGCGCCGAAACGGCTATGGGAGTTACCAGCGCTACACAATGCGATCGGGATTAAGTGGGTTGTTCCCCGGGAGCTGGGAAAGGGAAACCAAATATTTTCGATACTCTTCAGTCCGCACGGCGCACCCATCGCATCTCTACGACCTTGGCTGTCGTCTCTGCCACCGCAACTTCATAGCCCCAAAAACGAAGCGCACAGGGAAACAACAGCATCCCCACAGCCGAAACTTTCGCTATTAATACATCCCTTCTGCCGCATTCATTCCCTTCTCGGCGGTGAGGTTATTAGCGGGTTCCCCGGCGGCTTCTCGATTTGCCAGCATGCGACGGTGGATAATTGGATCAGTGCTCACGACGAAGTCAAGGACGTTCGAGGAATTACCGCAGGATTGTTAAGATATCGCCTGTGGGGCGTAGATGAAGTTGCGAAGGATTTGAAAGGGGAGGGAATCGAGGGCGTCAGGGTTAACATGTTACACGCAGGAGATGAGGTTTGCATCGACCTTTAGTAGTAATAGGGAGTATTTTTTTTCCGTTTTCTTTTTTATCGCAATGTATCCCTATGGTTCTGTTTAAAGGAGGACTGCAAGGCTATTTGCACAATCTCCCTTCACTAGCCACAATTGAGTTGGTACTATTCCTGGTGCCTCGAATTATCCTATTTCTCCCGAATGATATTGTCCCAAAGGACATGGCATTTTCCTGTGAGAGCGAATAGGGCCCAGAAGCCCTTACATCATGTCTTTTCCCTTTCCTCCATCCTTTCCGGACTTCTCACCCCCCCTACAACAGGACCCAACACCATTTCGTCCCACGCTAAATGATATTTTCCCAAACTACATTTAGTAGTGCCTCGAGAGAAATGTCGCGGGGCTTGGGAGAACAAAGGCTACGCATTAAAGGACCAGCACTGTTTCGTATACCGGCGGCTAGCGGCTGCTTCTGGTTCAGCAGCATCTTCATCGATACTGCACCACGCCCAGTGCTCCACCTACGTACTCGAGTACACCCATGAAAAATCATCCGACCTTGGAGTTTCGAAAAACCGACAGCAGGTCAGGCCGGAATGTCCAGTACGTACCACAAGTTAGAAAAGCAGGCAAAAGGCATAGAAATCCTTCCTTCTTATGCTTTCCTAGGCGCTGCACATCTTGTGACCCAGTTGCCGACCTGGACTGGTGGATGTAAAGCCCCTTAAACGAAGCGACGGGCATGCTTATCCCAGGAAAGACCAGAAATTATTTCCGCTATTCAGGTGCCCCAGTGTTGGACAGTGTAGAGTTCAGTACAACACCCGTGAAAACAGAGCTTCGTTATGTTATATTCTCCAAACTACTGGCACAATTTTCCTTCAATATTTTGTTCCCAGGGATATATTCCCGCCCCAGATATCGCTACCGAAATCCATTTCACCCCGCAGAAATACTTAGCCTGTCAGATAATATTATGGCAGTTCCGTATTAAGGGCTCATCGGGCTTAGATGGTCCACGAGTTTGCCAGCCATACCCCGCGGAGCGGCGTCCAAGCCTCGCAGCTGGGCTACCTGTGCTTGCGTTTACTCGAGTGACCTGTTGTTTGGGTTCGGCTGGACTGGGCCATAGAATCGATGGCCCGCGCGGGTCAGGTGGAACAAGATAGGGCTTTATAGAGTTGAAAAAAAAGGTGGAAAACTTAAATCAGCTATGATATCAAATCACACCCCGCTGATTCATAGGAGCAACCCGCCAACCTACCGGTATGATACCGCCACTTCACTATGCCACAACACCACGACACATCGGCCCAGGTTCCGGTGGTGAATCTACAACCGAAAAAGTGAGCGGAGGCTATCCGCCAACACAGCAACGCAATCTAAAACAACTTTCCTTGTTTACCACCACTGAAAAGATCCCCTTTTCAGCTGCGAATACCCCCTCGAAATTGCGAACCCTGACAATCTAGTAAAGCCAACAAGATGCTTGGCTGTTTATAAAGTATTCGGTCACTTGGCATCCAAACAGGTGCTAATAATACCAATGTGTCCGAACACTCTATAATGGCAAAGCAGATCATTTCCTCGGGGGACGACAAAACCCCACTATACGAACCAGAGGTACCCCCCACCCGTTCCCAGTGTCGAGAGAACCAACTAATAGCACCCTCGAGTACAGGACTGGCCCCCCCCCTTCGGCTCCCTAACAGCCTTGACCTCCATCCGCAAATTCTGGGGCAAATCTGGCAGCAGACCATCCCCCGAACACTAACCACAACCCCAATCTCCATCCTAACTCACCTCCACCTCCCACCCACCTACGCACTAACCTTTGCTCTCCCATTCCTAATATCAAGTTTCTTCCATGCCCTACCGCTCTTCTTCATACCGCCATTCTCATTGTCTTTCATGCCCCGCGGCATTCTCGCGTCCTACTTCCTATAGCCCATCGGGGTGCTATTCGAGACACCCGCGTCGTCGGCGTACACGGGCAGGAGCACCGTGTGGACTAGGATGGCGGGGCGTGTTTGGGTTGCGGTATGGCTAAATTACACGGTTCCCTGGTTCTGGGACGATATGTTTGCGGTAGGAATGACGGATAGGAACAGCATGCCGGTATCCATCCTTAGAGTTATGCGTCGATAGTAAATCGCGTGAAGTTGGGCTACAGCGCGTAGTTAGGGTATAGTGGAACATATCAAGTGGAGAGAATATAATTTCACAATCCTTCGTGTCATATTTGCCGTTTCCCGAGTGAGCTACTATGATTTCCCGAATCCAGCCTCCTGTACAAAAGTGGCATCCTCTCCTTGCCTATGGGGTAATATTCGAAAACCAGAATTCGAAAACCAAAAAACTGAGTAGAAACTCGCGTAGTAGGGATAGAAGGACACGGTAGCACTCATCACACTAAAGTTGACTAAACTCACCGAGGAGCAGCCCAAAAGGAGGAACGTAACGATAGCATATAGGACAATGATAGAGGTCGGTATCGAAGCGGGGATAAGTAGAGGAACGATAGAAAAGACAGTCATGAAGGCAAATAGGGTAGGTAGAGCAAGTAAAGTCGGACGCAAGCCAAGTAAAGAATACAAAGTGAAGCAAAGAAACGTCTACCATCTACACAGATGGTTTAAGCCCACGAGTGCCTCTCTGCTTTTCAGTGGGGATTATAGATCTGACCCCTAGCCGTCCTTTATAATACTTGACTAGAAAGAGCCTCTCACGATGGCACGCCACGTTATTCACACATTGCTCCGAAGAAGAACTCTAATTTAGACCCACCTTGCTCTAGCGCCCCATATTTCGCTCATCAGAGCAAATGCTTCCCCCATCGCCCCGATATAGCGTTCGGAATACGGCTACACTCCAATATTTCACCCTTGGATCCTGGAATGCACCCAAAGCTACTACGACTGGAAAGCCTGGGAGAGTTGGGCCAGGGGGTAGTCTGAGTTTCTCCCTAAGACCTCCTTCAATAAGGTTTAACAGTTTTCTTTTCAAATCCGCCAGAAGGGCTAACCGGCTCGTCTTTTATTACCTTTTTTCCTTTCCCAGAACAACTCAGTGTTCAGCTGGGCAGCCTACCGCCCATTTTTTGAGTTTCCACGGAATTGGACACAGCAGATCAAAACCGAAAATTCATCACCGAGCACATAACATTTTCAGAACTTTAAACATCTGGGATCTAACACTGTTTATTTTGATGGTATGACAGTACCAGCAGCAGAGTATCGTAGAGTAATGGTCGCAGATACGGGGGGGAACAGGAGCGCCGATGTGTCCAGACACATTTACGGGAATGTACTTATCTGAGCACATCCGGCGATATGAGCGGAAGCATACATATTCAGAGCGCCAGTGAGCGCAGATGATTATTGAGAAGCCCAGCGAAGGTTTACCCTCTTGTTGTCCCCTCCTACGTATACATTTAATTAGCTAGCCACTTTCCGGCGTGAAGATACCGCACCCCGCTACAGATGGGGGCCAACCGCGCAACTGAGCAAACCTACCACTACCACTAGATTCGCCTCAATTGTTCGCTACTTGGAACAGATATGGGTATTTATAGTATCACGAAACCTCAGTTACTCCTTCCAGTGCGATGGAAGCTCTCGGTGGTCTTTAGCCACGGCCCATAGGGTCCCCAGACCATAGGAAGCACCGGCAGTGCTTTCGCTATTGCTAGAAGGCGCTTGAAAGCAAACCTGCAAAGAATGCAACAGAGTATCTGAGCAACGCTTTGGAAGGATATAGCACATGCTTAGGCAGCGTTAAATCAACAGGACCTTCAGAGAGCTAGGGGCCCTACTTCCGGTCCCCTAGTTTACGGGAGATTGTAAAGATGGTCCCTCTATTCCATTACTCCCCCCCGTTTCTTATTAGATGTTATGAAAGCGCGAGACCCCCGCAGTTAACAGGAGATGATGTTAGGATCAATGATGTTTTTTTGTGATCAGTTCTTTCACCCTTCAGAGATATGTTCTTGAATGATGGAAAAATGAAGCTACAAAAAACAACCATTGTTATTATTATTCTCTCACTCTAATAAAATATTTAATCTAGGTCACACCCGCCTCCTACCTACATTTAAAAAACATCAGTATATGCCAGGCCGGTCCGGTCCGATCGGACAAGTCAAGGTTCGTTTTTCTGTGTTTATACCCGCCCACAGCCATCCGGTGGACTGCACCCAGCTCCGGACCGGATAAGATGATCTCCGGTAGCTCACCCATGATTGGTGCACGACTGGCCCCAGAGGGCGGATAAAAGGCCATCAGTGCACAGATATCGGTCGCGGAAGGAGCAGTTGTAGAGCCCAAGTAACTAGGGGTGCGTTGGCTGCCGACTCAGCATGAGTGACGCCTAGTAAGTCTAGCTCTAGCGATATGCGTTCCCGGAACCGAGAAATTGGAATTAATTCCCCGATAGTCAAAACTTAGAAGTTCGTATTTTGCGAGATATCCCATCCAGACAAACCCAGATAATTCATCCGCCACCCCCGAAAACGAGTGCTTTGGCAGCATTCAGCGATTCTGCGAAGCACGACTAGATAACTATGTCTAAAATGTTATCCAACAGCCGGACCCAGTACGATAGGAAGGCATTTACCAAGCAAAGAGGTTACGTAGTGCTCGGGGTAAGTAGGGCACTTCAAAAAAATTCACCCGGCGTGACGGACAAACACAGTAGCATACCAACGCGAGGAGAACAACTCGGTGGCAGAATATGAAGGGTGGAAGTGGATGGGAGGGGGGTGGATTTTACCCCGCAATACACACAGCCCGGGCCCACAGTCCGATCGGCCCCTGGCCTGTCTAGTGTAAGGCCCTCAATACCCAAAAATATTGACCTACCGCACACACTGTAGCTCATTCAGCCCTACCTCCAGGACTAAAATGCAGGAATCACCGACGCTAACTCAGGATTTTCTGGCAGAGTTTATTGTTCAATCGAAACTCTATCATATAGTTTCCCTAGGCCGTAATTTTTCAACGGTCTTCTGTCTCTCACCGTAGTTCCCCTGAGCCTCGGTATGTTCGGGTGCTAGGGGGAAAGAATTGAGAAGGCGCCAGGCCGTCAGCGTTTGCAAGCTTTTCCAAAAACTAGCCTGCCAGGAGTGTCGGCTGCAGTCCAGGTTCTAGGGCTCATTGGCCTGGGCTGGCCAGATCGTGAATATCTGTCTGCATCCGAGTGA